AGGGTGCTCAGCACCATCGCGGGGGGGGAGGTTTTCTTTTTAAAAGCAGAGGGGGTGACTGGGTTGTTCTGCAGATGCAAACTGTGGATTTTGCTGCTCCCTGGCAGAAATTCTGGGGCTGAGGTTTTGTGCTGCCCTGGGTTTGTTATGGACATACCGTTGCGAGGCCAGCTGTGAAGGCAAAAGGACTGAAGAGGTTTAAAATCCATTCCAAAGCCCGTGGCAGTTTTTCAAACAACGTCAAAAAGCCCAGTGCCCCAAAGAGGATGTGAAGGAGAAATCCCACAGAACTGGAAATATTTGGCTGCTTTAGCAACGAGCTGAGCAGGAAAGTGAAGTGAATCTGCAGCAGAGAAAACCAGGGTTAGCAGGGTGCATTTCTGCTGCAATTTAAGAAAACAACCAACATGAAAACAGGAGCAGAGTTAGAGACCCAGCTGGGTTTCAGTTGCACAAGGCTTTGTTTAGCACACAGCTCTGGGATTTAGGGCAGGTTTATAGGGACAGACAAATCACTCCCAGCCTCATTTTAGCACCTCTCTTTACTCTGATTTCGAGTCAGAATCTCCCAAAATGTAACGGGAGTGGTATAAAAGCCTACTAATAATAAATTACAGTATTTTTGTTACTTTCTCACATAATACTAGCCCTAAAAACTCAGTCTTTCAGATATTTTAATTAGGAAATGGCGGGGGGGAAAAAATGTGCATCACATAAGAACACAAAAGCAAACTTACAGATGCCGTGCCATAAAAGAAATAAAAAAAATACAGTTCCAAAAAGCTGTTGTGATTGAAAACTTCACTCAGGGTGATCCAGGTCAGCAGGCTGGCTGTGATGGAGACATACACAGTGTACAGCAAACTCCAGGATAACCTGCAAAGGAAGGCACAGCTGTTTCTGTCCCTGAGCCTGACAGCACTTGCCACGGCATAGCCAATACAAGGCACAGTGGTTTTAGTTCAAATATTTTGTATTTTCATCCATGTAGAGCTTCCAGACTGGACAGGTGCAAATATCAGAGAGCCACAGGAAGGGCCAGGTTGGAAGGGACGCGGAGGGTTGATGTCTCTGCTCAAAAAGGGTCATCCCAGAGCAGAAGGCACAGGAATGTGTCCAGATGGGTCTGGAGTATCTCCAGTGAGGGACACTCCACATCCTCTCTGGGCAGCCTGTTCAGTGCCTGGTTACTGCTCAGGTGAAAAGTTCTTGACAAATTCAGGTGCCCAGATCTCTGCAGGTGCAATGATGGCAGCAAAGGGACATAGAGGATCTGCAGCCAGCACCTTTTATCCATCTGCTTTTCCTGATGCTGTGAAATGTTCATGCCCATTAGGAAAGCCTCTTTGGATAGACCCTGTGTCCCTCCTCTGCTTCAGCATTCAGGGGTTTCTCCAGAATTTGTTGTTTATTCGCTTTTTCTGTGTGTTCCACCCATTTTCTGGAGGCAAACAACCCCTCCACACCCAGAGCCCTGCTGCACGCACCCCTGCTCCACGAGGAGGGCTCCTCCTCTTTTTCTGGGGGGGGAAAAGCGACAAAACAGCTACAAAAAACCTTTCTCAGGCTTGGAAACAGAGTTCTCCCAGCAAAGAGAACCCCAGAATGGTTTAGGAACCTCAAAAACCCCCTAATTCCACCCCTGCCATGGGCAGGGCCACCAGACCAGGCTGCTCACACACTTGAGAAAATAATCCCTTTAATTACACATTAATTTCTGAGACTTACCAGAAGGAGATATCTTGCAGACCCATTGCTCTCATCAATATCTTCAGCTTCTTCTTCTCCTTGAGAACTTTGACTGATAAAAAGTGCATGTATGGGCAGTAGCTCAGTATGGCACAGATAATGAACCAAATGTAATCCAGTTTAAACAGAGGTTTCAGCACGGTTTTCAGGTGAACTCCAGTAATTGACTTCATTTCTTTCCACACAGAGTGGTTGGTTTTCATCTAAAGGAAAGAAATCAGACATTCATTTCATTTTTGCAATGAAACAGCCAGCATCAGAACAAACAGGGAGTTACAAACATTAGAATTATCAGCTGGTCAATAATAAGTTTATAAGCAAATAATCAGTATTTATGATCTTTTTGTGTTGCCTTGCAATAAACATCATTCCATTCGCTGCCTCGAGCCGTGAGAATGATCTGTCATTCTTTCAAATTTTGAATTATGTACTTAAGAAGTTGATGACCACAAAAAATCAGAGCATCCCAGAATGGTTTGGGTTGGAAGGGACCTTGAAGATCCCCTTGTTCCACCCCCTACCACGGGCAGGGACCCCTCCCACTATCCCAGGTTACACCAAGCCCTGTTCAACTTGGCCTTGCACACTTTTAGGGATGGAAAAATGAACTGGCTTGGTGCTTTTCTTGGTGGTTGGGTTTGATTATTTTCCCCCCTCTGCTTTTGCTTTCATCAGTTTGGGTTTTAAGTTTACACAGAACTCTGGGAAGAACAGCAAATCCCATCATGAGCACACTTACCTCTATGACTGCTGCATCGATGCTGGACTGCACTGAGAGGAATCCCCCGTACCAGTACAGAGGAACCTTGCAGTGCCTTGCTGAAAAATCCCAGCAGGTTTCTGTTGGGGAAGCAAATTATTAAAAAATAATTAATCAAGATTAATTAATACATTTCCATATGCATGTGCATGTAAGTGCTTGTGCGTGACATGTGGGGTTGGAAATGAGTTTTACTTAAGTGTGAGGAAATCAAGGTTGGGGTTTACTCCTTTTATCTTTTAATGTGTTAAATCTCTGTTATTGCACACACAATTCTCATTTTCCAGGCATGATTTGATGTGTTAAGGTACGAAAGGGAGAGGGGCAAAAAGGCACTGGATGATCCCTGAACTCCCTTCCACCCCAAACCATGCTGGGATTCTCTCATTCTCTGCCTGTGGATGACATTTCTGTCCCTACAACTTTTTTCTCTGACAATTTTTTTTTCCTTTTACAGACACAAACCCTCAAATTTTAACTCATGTCTCCCTTGAGCCACTTGGCACACACATCCTCTGTGCCTTTGGGCTGGCACAGAAGCACAGAAATCCAGCTGAACAGTTTCTAATGCAAAAATCAAAGCCTGGGGTTTGATTTCATTTCTTTCATTTCTTTGGTTACCGATGTGCTCAAAGCCTTCATTTGGAAACACCGCTCTGCCCACTGGAAATCTGAGAGTGTAGGAGAAGTCATCCTTAAAAACAACACCAATGGTTTCCTCCTCAGAAATTGCTTTTTCTTCCATTTTCTCCTCATTTTCCATCTCTTCTATTATTACACCTGCCGTTAGAATAGATAAATAGTATTAATTTAAATGAATAAATAAAACCAGCACAGCTGACACTGATTATTCAGGCAACGACGAAAATGGGCATCACCACCATTTGATCCCTCAAAAATCACACGGGACAAATGCTCTTGTCCCTCCCCTACCACCAGGGTGGGTCAGGTCCACATCAGACCCTGCAGGAGGATGGATTTAAGAGCTTTTACCCCTCAGTGGCGAGCTGGCGGCCACTTTAGCCATTATTGTCCTGGTGGTGTTGGTTGCAGGGGTGAACATGAGCGTCACCCCCGAGGCATTGAAGGCTGGGTCGTCCAGGCGCCCCAGGAATTTGTAGGGGAACTCCTGGGTGGGGTAGTACATGATCAGACTGGCCGAGTCGTGCAGGATGTAGAGGAAAACCAGCGATGCCACCCATTCCTGGAGGAAAGGAAGGAAATGCAGAGGTGAGGGGCAGCCCAGGGAATTGCTGGGGTGGGGATGAAGCCTTAGGATTGAGCTTTTCTATTTCTCAGACCAGCACTGCTTTAGTGTGGAACTCCAAACCCCACAGCCTGTCAGCTGCTGCTCTCCCCTTTTATTCAGGCACAACAATTCCTCTCCAAGCCTGGGAACCGAGGACACCTCACTGCCTCAGGCCTGGAGAGATGGAAACAGTGAATTTGGGGGAAACTTGGGGTAAATGGCTTCATTACCCAAAGCTGTAATTGGAGAATTAACCCCTGCCACGTAAATGGGCCAAACTTATAAAAGTGTGAAAAACTCGTGGCCACCATCCAGCCCCTGGAGGCTTCTGACTGCCCAAGCTGCACCTACTGAAGGCCTTCAATATAAACCCACTTTTATTCTCCTAATCTTGTCCAGCCTCTCTTTTAGGAGCCACCCCAAGGCATCAGGGAGGCTCCTCCGGGGCCCTTCTAACCCAGCTCCCACCCCACTGCCCCATCCAGCTCCTCCAGCCTTTCCCCCGTGCACCAGGGAGAGCTGGGCCACAGGTGTGATGGTTTTAAAATCTGAGCGAGGTTTCAGATGGAAAACATGTTTTCTTAGTCCCGGGGCCAGCGAGGTCTGTGGGTAATTTGACACTGCAACCATGAATTGGACATTGTGTTCCTCTGGACAGGGCAGGAGCAACAAGCTAAAGGGAGCAGCCAGCTTTGTCACGAGGCAGATTTGTAGTGTCCCAGGAAGAAGGAACTGCTGACATTTCCCAGGGAGCCACAGCTGAGCCTTCTCACATCCCCTCACACTAAAACAATGCACCCTGAAAATTCTTTGTAGTAGAAATGCTGATTTCCCTTCGGAAGAACTTGCCTGAAAACTTTTTGACTTCATCCTCCACACCAGAAGAATATTTTTCCACAGGAGAGCACAGGTTTGCTGAAATATTTGTGAGGCCTTCTTGGATACCCCCTGCATTTTTCCAGCTGAGAAAGAAAATGATATAATTTAGAATAAAACAGATCACTCATCCTTCCTCATCCAGACTCATCCTTCCTCATCCAGGTTCATCCTTCCTCATCCAGGTTCATCTTTCCCCATCCAGGTTCATCTTTCCTCATCCAGGTTCATCCTTTCTCACCCAAATTCATCCTTCCTCATCCAGACTAATCCTTCCTCACCCACACTCATCCTTCCTCATCCAAATTCATGCTTCCTCATCCATATTCATCCTTCCTCACCCAGATCCATCCTTCCTCACCCAGGTCCATCCTTCCTCATCCCAAAGAGGCTTTGTGGAACGAGACAACGGCTCACTTTCCTCGTTTCAGTGCAGAAAGTGAATTTGTGTCTGGCCTCAGACACGTGGTTTGTTGGCAAACCGCTGCTCACGTGCTCTGGGTTCTGAACCAGACCCCAAATCACGTTACAAACGCTGGGGAGATGCTAAAAATAACCCAAAATAGAGGCTGCCACTGCCAGCCTTCAGCAGGCTGGTAGGAAACCAGATTGTTCTGTTTTCACCCAGATATTAAGGAACTTTAAAGCAGTTGGAGCAGGGCAGGATTAGAACACCCATGTGCTCCTTAATATCCTGCTAAACACCGAGCAGGGAGTATTTCTTTGGGATGTTTATTTCAGCTCCAGCTTTAATCCCGTGGCCAAGCAGCAAGAGCAGGAGCAAGTTCAGAGCGATGGGTTTCACCCCGTTCCCAGGGGAGCAGGGCAGGGAACCTCCCAAAGTGTTCCTGGGGTTTAATCCTTTCAAATGGCTGGAACCTCAAATCAAAGCAACCTCAGAGGCAGAGTGCTCCATTCCCCTTGGACAGCACTTCCTCATTTCACAGATGGGGCAGCTGGAGTTAATAAAGGGTTCCACTGTCTGTTCCCTTCACTGCTGCTTTTTGGGAGAATTAAATATTTGTGTACTGCAGGAGCAAGGGATCCAGGATCCCAGTTCAGCTTCTGTGCTATCACAGGGCTTATCTATCTTATTTTATCTCCTGGTGCTCTGCTTGCCCTGCCCAAGCTTCCTCCCACACTTCCTCCCTGCTGCACTGAAGGTTAAAGGTAAGCAGGAAGGGATTTCTAGGAAGTGTCACTTTAATTTTCATTTTTTTTCCCCTCAGGTCTGGATTTCAGTCATGAACTGAAAGCAGTGGCTCAGCCCAGGATGCTGGGGCAGTAAACAAAGTGTGGTGGTATTTGGATAACAAGGAAAACATGATGGTCTTTAAAAGATGCACAGAATCTCTACAGTCACAACAGTTTTAAAATGATGGAGCAAATCTAAAACTTTTTAGAAAACTTTAATGAAGTTTCTATCAATTTTAATTTACTTTTTGCCTGTGGAGCAAGGAGCAACCACCACTGGGAGCCAAATATGAAGCCAGGAATTCAAACAAGTGATGCTGCCTACAAAGGCTTAACTTTCAATCAGGTACCTAATAAATATTACCTATTATTAACTTCAAATTAGATATCTAATTAATCTGTTAGATAACTACCAAAAAGGTTAAAAATATAGCCAAGAGAGAACCCTCTGCAAGGCCTGAGGCTCAAAACTTAAGATGCAGAAGGCAAAATAAACACATCAGAAACTGGAGGCAATGATGTTTGGGAAACTTTAATCTCATTAAGAGCATCACTTGTAAAGCTGGATGTCCCCTGGGGCTCATTAAGTGCATCCAAACTTCCTGCTCTCCAGGAACTCACTGCCAGGGTGTTGCAAGAACTTTTCCTGGCTCCTGCGTGCAGCTCTGCTCTACCAAAACTCGTCCCAGGAAGGCACATCCCATATAATCCCTTTATTTACTGTCTCTGGGAATTCTGCTCTTCAGACCGTGTTCTTTTATAAATTCACCTTACTGAGGTCTGTTTGAAGATGTTCTGCCCCTTGCAGGGGGATGGGACTGGGTGATTTGTAAAGGTCCCTTCCAACCCAAAGCGCTCCTGGAGTTTATGATTTCAGTTCCTAAAATCAAGCTGCTCTTCAGGAGCTCTGGCAGGAGCCTCTCGGTGCTGGGTTCAAAGGGAGAAACCCACGCTGCATCTCACACTTCCCAGAGGCTTTTCCAGAGGCAAGGATTCATCCCTGCACGTGGAGAGTGCAGAGGTGCTCTTTCCATCCCCTCCTGTTTGCCAGTTCTCACAGTTTTTTGTGCTTGCATCTGACAAATCCCAGACAGATTTGCACTGACTCCACTCCAACACAGACTGGAACAGGTTGTTTTTTCCTACTCTCAGCTTGAAAATAACAGCTCTAAGCCTGCCCTTCATCAAAGCTCAACACTTCAGCTGATACAGAGAAGGGAAATTTGGGGGTTTTGCATTTTTAGAGGCCTTTAGTGACAGCAAGGCAGGAGGAGGAGAGCAAAGGGAGGGGTCATCCCCCAGTGCTCAACCTGCAGCTCTTCACCTGCAGCCATGGGGAGAACCAAAACCCACACACACCCAGAAAAAGCTGAATATTCTTCCTCCTTTTCCTCTAAAATATTTTGTTGTGAACTCACAGTCCACCAGAAAACAGAGCTGGAAGGTGCAGCCTTTATGCATTCAGCATCATAAAGCATTAATTAGGAAAAACTGATCATCCCCTGGTGAAAACTCAACCCCTGCATGAAACCACCCCGGGGAGAATCTTTCCACCTCTACTTCTAAATTAATTTTCCCTTGGAAAAAAAGGAGAAACCTCTACTTTGAAATTAATTCTCCCTTGATGAAAAAAGGAGAAACCACTATTTTGAAATTAATTCTCCCTTGGAAAAAAGGAGAAATACGTGACTCCTTACCTGCTGGTGTGTTTTCCATCGGGAAGGGTCTCCTCCAGCTCTGAGGTGTCCGGGCTCCTGGTCCCTTTTCAGCCCCAGGGAGGCTCAGCTCGGTGGCCCAGCCCGGTGGCCATGCCCCTCTCCAGCCTGACGTCACCCGGGCAAACCCTCCCAAAACTTCTGGAGCGATGACCCAACGTTGGAACAACACCTACAACCGGCTGGCCCCGAGCCTGGGGATGTTTACACCACGCTCTGGAGGACTGAACTCAGCTCCTGCAGATGTTCCCAGCAGGCAGCAGAGCTGGGGTGGCCTGGGATGGGGTGAACTTTCACTCCTGAGAGGTGGCAAAGCCACTTTGTCCCTGTCCCAGCTTCTCCAGAGGGAAAACTCTGCTGCCTCGTCCCCATCGTGCCCAGAGCCTGACTCAGCTCCTTCCTCTGCTGAGACAAATCCTGCATCCCAGCACCAACGGGATTTTAGCTCTTGTTTAGTTCTTTCTCCTTTCCCCTTCGTTTTGAGCGTTTCTTTCCCCAATTTCCACTCCTTTTTAATTGCTTTTCCAGCAGCTGCCGCACAGCTGGAAGCAGGATGGAGCGTGTTGGGCGTTTCAAAACAAAACATCTTTCCAGTGGATCTTCATTCAAAACAGGGAGGTGAGGCAATCAGACAAGCCAGGGAATCCAAACGAGCTGGAAGGGCGCACGGCCATGGGAAAATTCAACCAGTTAAATGAATTTGACCGTCCCAGAACTTCCCCAGCTTGAGGATTGTGCCTGGGGTTTGCAGAGCTGCCTCAAACCACAAGGGCTGGCTGGTTGTTGCTTAACAAAAGGCCAGGGCTCTGCTGCAGCTGCTGATTTACTCATTTTCAAGGCATGAGCTCATTTAGGAGAGGAGCAGAAGCGTTTTCCGGCATCCCTTCGCGTTGGGCAACAGGGGAGCAGTGGGGAAGGCTCCTTGTGACAGCAAAAAGCCCATCTGAGGTGCAGTTCACCAAAAAACAGCACTTTTCTGACCAAAACCTGTGCCTCAGCGTGGGACCCAGCCCTGCCCTGACTGCACATTAGCTACAGAAAAGGCTTTTTCACTGAAAAACGACACCTGCTCCAAGCACTCCTTGGGTCCTGCTCCGGGCCCTGCTGCTGAAGTGGGACCCCCAACCCCTCAGGGCTTCACTGGGAGCACAGAGCACCTCAAAAATACCAAAATATCACTCATGAAATCCCCCAAGCAGATGCTCCACAGGATTTCTGAGCAGGACACTCAGGACCAGGCTTTGTATCTGCCAGGAGGAGGAGAGGGGCTGGGAAGGGAGCCAGAGCCTTCCAGGGGGACATGCCAAGCGAAGGAAAAAGGAACAGAGAGAGCTCCGGGAAGCCCTTATCAAAGAGAAATTCAGCATGTTAAATCAGGGACTTTCTGGACATCTTTTAAAAGAAGCATTATAAGGGAATGAATTAATTTTACAGCTTAAAAAAAAAATAAAAATGCATGGCACACTGCCCTTCCACACCATCAGAAACAAACGAGGATGAACTGCTGGGAACTGTCACCAAGCTCAGATTAAACTTCTTTGGGGTTATTTTCCTTTCCACTGAGGAGCACAGGGAGCACAAACAAACCCTTTTTATTTTGCTGCAGCCTTCAGCGACCCATGAGGCTGGAGGTGACCAGCTCCTCCTGTTCCTCAGCAGGGTGTGTGCAGGGAGCTGGCAGGAGCAGGCAGTGCCCTCCATCCCTGCAGAGCACCTTCCACGTCCCACCTTCAGCCCAACCTGCCCCCATTTCACTGCCCCTCAGCCCAGAGCCAGCACCCACACAGAGAATTCACCTTGGCCACAGCTCCAGGCACAAAAATGAATTGTTTTTTTTTTTACTGGGGTTGGTTTTCCAGTGGCTGGAGGCGATTCACCCCTGCAGATGGACGATGTGCCGTGGGGTCACTGCTAGCCCAAAGCTGGGCTCGATGGATCCGGCTGCAAAACGCCACCCCAAGTGTTGCAACGCTGCAAAATTCCCCCAAATTCAGTTTAAAATATGTAAATACTGCAGCCTGAGAGCCCTGGCCATGCCAAGAGCCAGGGCCCCCCACGCTCTGCCTGAGCCCAACCACCCTGGGGCACCCCAAAATCAGCCCAGGCTTTGAAAACCATCCCCATTTCCAGCACAGCAAAACAGCCAGGGAGCCAAGAGTTTAACAACCCAATCCATCTTTATTTTGGAAGTACTTCTTGCTGGGAAAGGAAAATCCCCACCTTTCCAAGTACAGCCAAGTGGTGAAAGAAAGGCAAGTGTGTAAAACGAGCTGCACGTGGTGCAGCAGCAGGAGGAGCGTCACAAAGGTGTCACCCTCGGGCCTGACACCTTCTGCTCCTGCTGCCAGAGCTCTGGCTGCTGGCTGTGCAATAAATCTCACTTGCTAAACACAGATACTCTTAAATAAGGACTTGGGAACGTAAACGAAACCGGACACTTTAAATTCTCCACAGGAAAATACAACCTCGTAACAACACCACTGAGTGAACGCGCTTTCCAAGCTCCGGATACGACTCACAGCAACCCTGCAGCTCCAAACATCTCCCTGGGAATGGTGACCCAAAATGGGTGGATTTACCCCAAATCCCCCCCAAATCCAGTTTATCTCTGGGAGCACAGGCTGGGTGTGTGTTGGATGGATGGGATTTGGAATGTCACTGCTAAGAGCTGAACAAAGGGGCTTCAAGCCGCAGGAATAAAGCTCTGCTGTTCCCAGGGCACTCCCTGCTTTCATTTTCCCTGGGTTTGTCCCTGTTTTGGCAATTACAGACATTTTAGGACGCTTTGAAACACTTCTGATATGAGGACAGTGATGTTTTGGGGTGGAATTTTACCCCATTTTGACACACGATGCCACCAAGCCAAAAAAGATCCCGCCCTAACAGGGAATTAATTTAACGAGCCAAATTCTTTGTCCTTTCTGTAGCTGCACAAAAACAAGTGCCACCACCCACTGGGCTCCTCCAAGATAAACAACAGCACCAAACTGAGCTAATCCAGCTCCTAATCCAAAATTTTCACACCTGAAACGTGAGGAAATATGGAAATATCTGAAACAGACAGCACAGAACTATTTTACAGACTATTAACTCCAAGTGAAAGAATAAATTCAAGGCAGACACCAAGGCTGCTCACAGCTCACACAATTCCCTAAATCCACGTGACAAGAATGTGCTGGATTGATGGGAAGGTGACACTTGGCCGAAACACCATTGGCAAAAAGAGACCAAAGAAATGTGAGATTTGGGAAAAATGCACTCAACTTGTACACACCTGCATGGGAAAGTGCCAAGAGAATTCGAAATCCCAAATTGCTCCAAATAAAGGCAAAAACTCAGGGTTCCCAGCCAGCAGCAGGGCTGGGGCTAAATAAATAAACCACCTGAATTTGAGGTTTTTTTCTTTTCTGACAGGGAAGTTTTACCCCTGTCAGGCAGTGCTGGAGCTGAAGTTTGATTTCATCCTGTCCTTTTAATCCCTCATTTCCAGGGCTGTGGCTCCCTGGGGAAGCAAATGGGATGTCCAGAGCTTTCTCGTAGGGCTTGGGCTCCAGTTTTAACTGCAAACCCAAAACCCTGCATTTCTGTGGGTACAAAAGAGGAAGTGAAATTCTGCTTAAGGAGTTCCCATCTCCCTATGTAAGAAACCAGTGGAAACATTTTGGCTGAACACACTGATAAACCATTATCAGACATATCAAACATTATTGCCTGGGACACACAGCTCCAACTTTAACCATTTTTTTTTTTTTTGAGTTTTCTCAAGAAAAACAAAGGTCTTTTCTAACCTTAAAGTGAAGATACATAAATGACTTATGAAGCCAATGTCTCAACAGAAACACATCTCTGTATCTGCTCATTGCAGAGCAAAATGAACTGGGAGCAATCTTATATTTCCCCTTATAAAACTAAAAATGCGATGTTCGTGTAGAAAAAACCAAAAAAATAATACATTTTCAACATACATCTGTCATATCTCAGGCTAAAGGACCACAAATTCTACTCTTAGTGCTTCTGTGCAAACCAAAGGCACCTTTCTGATGGATGAGGCTGTGAGTTGGGACTGTTTAATTTGGGGTTTTACAAAAAAGGGGTGATGAGTGGCCAGGCTGGGCCCTGTGTCACTGACTGCAACCACAACAAGGAGGGGCTGGGCAACACTGCAGCTCATGGCAGGGAAATGCAAACATCAGTGTGTGAGAGCAGCTGGCAGGACACTGTCCCAGGCAGGGGCAGGAGCAGACAGCTCTGACACATCTCTCCAGACCCCACAGCCCTGGCTGCGTCCTTTTAACCGAGCAGGGGAAGGAGCACATCCACTCTGCCCACCCCCTGTGCCCCCCAGCACGCAGGACAAGCCCCATGGCACCCACAGCTGCGGGGGAGAGGACTGGGAGTGCCAACAGTACCGTGTTTGGTCTGAAAATGAACTTTCTCAGGTTTTCTGAGCAGAGCTGGCTCAGGCCCCTCCTGGCAGCGGCACAGCCACTCTGCAGTGGGTTCCCCCCTCTCCTCTGAGCAGGTGCATCTTCAAAGCAGAAGCAGGGATGGCTGGGCTGGTGGAGGAGCAGGGCTGGGTGTGCAGGAGGGCAGCAGAGCCCGGCCAAGGGCACGGCCAGAGCCTGCAGCCCTGGGGCAGGACCCTGCAGCCGCTGGCTCCGCTCAGACGCAGGATTCCCCTAAGGACAGCCCGGCCCAGCAGAGCCAAGGGAAGGCAGCTGGCAGCTCCTGAACCAGCCACCAAGCCCAGGAGATGCCAGGCTGCCGTGGCAGTGCCCTCCTGCCCAACACAAACCGGGGACGGCCAGGGGAGGAGGGATTGGGGTCAGCCAGAGGAGCAGGGCGATGCTCACCGCTCCTGCGGCCTTATTGCCAAGGCCAGGATGGTGGGACACGCTCAGGGCTTCCAAGCCAGCTGTCCTTGCCCACCCCAGCTCCAGGAGCAGCCAGAGGATCGGAGCTGGCACCCACAGGAGCACGAGGAGCTCAGAAAATGACTCGGTCCTCCTGCATCCTCTCCCACCACAGGCTGCTGTTCAGGGTGCCAAAGCTGC